TGTTATCATTAACACTACTACACATATCTACACCATTTTTCATTTAGTCATTTAGTCTATAGCAACATCACCTTTACTGTCTGTACCTCTGTGTATATTGTGTAGGCTGCCTCCCCCCTCTCTCTCTCCTTCCATCGCTTTCTTTTTCTCTCGTTCCTCTCTTGCCTCTCTCTCTCTCTCTCTCTCCCTCTCTCTCTTCCCTCTCTGCCGCCACCCTGAGTCATGGTTCTGCTCGAGGTTTCTGCCTCTTAAAGGAAGTTTTTCCTTGCCTCTGTCTCCTAGTGCTGTCTTGGTGGGAACTGTTGGGCTTCTGTAAATAACATCATAGAGTACGGTCTAGTCTTTTATGAAAAGCGCTGTGAGATAACTGTTGTTGTGATTTGGCGCTATAAATAAAATTTAATTGAATAGAAATAGAATAGAATGAAATACAGACCAAACATGATCACAGCTTGCCCTAAGAGGTTACACAGACTCAGTCTGGAGAGACGATAGAAAGGAAACAAGTATAACACATGTATTTTTTCTATGGTTGAAAGAGTATTAATTGATGAATAAATCCCACTTACAGAGCTTTCTGGAGGCTTTGACCACTGGCAGCAGCCTCAGAAGAGCCTCCTCTGAAGCAGAGTTTCTTCAGGTCAAACACCTCCAGATCTTTTTCTGATGACAGTAAGATGAAGACCAGAGCTGACCACTGAGCAGGAGAGAGTTTATCTGTGGAGAGACTTCCTGAACTCAGGGACTGTTGGATCTGATCACTAGAGAACATCCTTCAGTTCATTCAGACAGTGGAACAGATTGATGCTTTTCTCTGCAGGGAGTCTCTTCGATCTTCTTCTTGATGTACTCGACTGCTACCTGTTGGTTTTGCGCCACTTCCTGTCTGTGTCAGCAGACCTCTTAGGAGATTCTGATTGGTCTGCAGTGAAAGTCCAGGAGGAAACGGAGGAACAAGTCCAGGTGTCCATTTGGACTCTTTAAGGCCTTGTCCACAGCACTCTGGTAGAACTGTGTCACTGCAGATTCATCTTTCTTGTTTCAGACTTCTGGGAGGTTGATTGTTCTTCTGCCAGCAGATTGACACCAGAGTTGATGAAGGTCAGATGGACATGAAGAGCAGCCAGAAACTCCTGAACGCTCAGATGGATGAAGCAGAACACCTTGTCCTGGTACAGCCCCTCTCCTCTTAAAGATCTGTGTGAACACTCCTGAGTACACTGAGGCTGCTCTGATATCGATGCCACACTCTGTCAGGTCTGATTCATAGAAGATCAGGTTTCCTTTCTGCAGCTGCTCAAAAGCCAGTTTTCCCAGAGACTCAATCATCTTCCTGCTCTCTGGAGTCCAGTGTGGATCTGTCTCAGCTCCTCCATCATACTTGATGTTCTTCAGTTTGGACTGAACCACCAGGAAGAGATGTACATCTCAGTCAGGGTCTTGGGCAGCTCTCCTCCCTCTCTGGTCTTCAACACCTCCTCCAGAACTGTAGCAGTGATCCAGCAGAAGACTGGGATGTGGCACATGATGTGGAGGCTTCGTGATGTCTTGATGTGGGGATGATTCTGCTGGCCTGCTCCTCATCTCTGAACCTCTTCCTGAAGTACTCCTCCTTCTGTGGGTCAGTGAACCCTCTGACTCTGTCACCATGTCAACACACCCAGGAGGGATCTGATTGGCTACTGCAGGTCGTGTGGTTATCCAGAGGCGAGCAGAGGGAAGCAGGTTCCCCCTGATGAGGTTTGTCAGCAGCACATCCACTGAGGTGGACTCTGTGACATCAGTCAGGACCTCATTGTTGTGGAAGTCCAGAGGAAGTCGACACTCATCCAGACCGTCAAAGATGAACACAACCTGGAACTCTTCAAACCTGCAGATTCCTGCTTCTTTGGTTTCAGGAAAGAAGTGATGAACAAGTTCCACCAAGCTGTACTTTTTCTCTTTCAGCACATTCAGCTCTCTGAAAGTGAATGGAAATGTGAACTGTATGTCCTGGTTGGCTTTGTCTTCAGCCCAGTCCAGAGTGAACTTCTGTGTTAAGACTGTTTTCCCAATGCCAGCCACTCCCTTTGTCATCACTGTTCTGATTGGTTCATCTCTTCCAGGTGAGGCTTTAAAGATGTCTTCTTGTCTGATGGTGTTTCTGGTCTGCTGGTTTCCTGGATGCTGTTTCAATCTGTCTGACCTCATGTTCATCATTGACCTCTGCAGTCCCTCCCTCTGTGATGTAGAGCTCTGTGTAGATCTGGTTCAGAAGGGTTCGGTTTCCTGCTTTAGCAATCCCCTCAAACACACACTGGAACTTTCTTCAGCTTAGATTTAATTTACGCTGACAAACTGCAGAATGACTTCCTGAATGAAGACACAACAAAACAGATCAATCAGTGATAAAGTCCATGTGACAGTTTCATTTCCTTATCTAACCATGTTTCCCTCCTTCTGCTGAGCCATCAGTAAATGTCCGTTTATCCAGCAGCTTAAATCTTTAGAGAAATCCTCTTACTGCTCTGCAGACGCTCAGCCAGCTCCTCCTGCTTCATTCTCCTCAGGAAGTGCAGTGTGATCTTCAGAAATGCCTCCTGCTGCTCCTCCTCTGCTCTTCCTCCTCACCGTCCAACACCTCCTCATCCTCCCTCTGACTCTCTAAGCATTCTGGGTAATCTGAACTCAGACCCTTCTGGATCTTCTTCAGCTCGTTCTTCACAAAAGTGACAATGTTGTCCTCCAGCAGCTGGAACAGAATATATATGAAGGACACAATCAAAGTCAAATCATGGAACCAAACATCAGATCCATGTTGGACAGACTGACAATCCACTGGTCTAAAAAGTGCAGCGTGGAGATTATTGTGAACAGAATAGATGGAAAAGTAGTTGTTGTTGTACAGTACAGACCATAAATATGGAGTCCAGGTGTGTTTGATGCTGCTGGGCAGACTGACCACTGGGAACCTCTGAGCTCTCCTGGTGGACTCTGTGGAGGAATCATGAAGAGTTAGCTCTTTAACTTAAAGTGTTGATTTCGATATTAAATCCGATGGTTTCCCCTGACATTAAAGTGTTCCAATTCCACTGTGAATCAACAGTCCAAATTATTGTGCAGATTTTAATTTACTGGGTTTAGTCTCTCAAGGTCTTCATTCAATTCCGTCTCATTTTATGGTGTCAATTCATTGCAGAAGTTATCTCATTGCACTTTTCACATACAGCAGGTCTAGACCGTACTTTTTCAAATGTTACTTACACAGACCCAACAATTCCCATCATAAGCAAGCACTTGGTAATAATGGCTAAAGGCAAACGTCCTTTTAATAGTCAGAAACCTCAGAAACCAGGTGGGCGGCTATGGCAGGTAGGGTAAGAGAGAGAGTAATATAATTTTATTATTGACTATATTATATTGATATTATTAAGATTATTATTTTTTAAATTATTGCTACTATCTATCCAGTGCAAATTGGTAGTTCCACAAAGTTCTGTGCTTGGACCAATCCTTTTCAGCCTATTCCTTTAGGCAATATTGTCAGGAAATACTCCATAATCTTTTATGTTATACAGACAATACTCAATTATATCTATCGATTAAGCCACATGAAACCAATCAGTTAGCTAAATACCTGCATAACCTGCAATTTTATGAGTTGTTGTCTGTAGGCTACTGCTATTGAGGCTTTGTTAACTCAGCGACAGAATGTAGCATGTCTTTAAGTCTTTCACAATAAATGCATCCTGCCAGTTCCTCAGAATTAACACGAATCATAAATGACTGCAAGTGTTATGTCAAAATTAGCATTTACTTAACAAAAAATACTTTCAGCTGAAAAAGCCACGTGTCTGCTTTTCTACATTCAAAACTGCAGGCATGGAATAACATAGTGTTCCAACTCATTTTCAAAAGATCTCGTAACTTCAAAAATTCATTTTCAACGCAATGTAAAAAGTTTCAAACTTTGCAACAAAAAAAATTGATTCCATGCCATAAAAAGTGTTCAGATAGTGATGGAAAGATCTCAACCGTAGCTTCAGTTCAACAGTTTACTGCAAACTCACCTGGGGGCAGTACATGAACAGTCTCTACAATATAACAAGAAAATGCAACCTAAAGTATAATAAACAAGTTAATTCTAACATATATGCACATAATCACTGTACATATGGGCATGTCAGTGTTGTTTAGGGACAGACTGGAAAACATGTGGACCTGTCCTTTAATCCTAATCTGGCTCTGACCTTCATCATCATTCTAGGAGAACATGGACATTAGAAGGACAACTGGTCAGACTGGATTTAATGAGGACAAACATCAGCAGTGAGCAACATGAGGAGGGAGACATGAACATTTAGCTCTGATTGGCCAACGCTGTTTAATACTGACACATACTCACTGTCTGTCAGACACATGTCCTCGCTTAAAATCAATGAGACCACCCTTTGACCGGTCACTCTTGAA